GATACCTGATGCCATCACCACCTTGTGATCACACAGATTGGTGTGCTTCTTCCATGTGGGTTTTGTTGTTTCTCAGCTAGATGGTTACTTGTTTATCTTCAAGCCTTTAAGATCCCAGACGCTATACCTTTTGGTAGCTGGGCACCATCAGCTTTCTTCACCACATTTGCTTATGCATCTGCATTGTCTTCAGCAATTGTGTCAGGAAGGTGATAAAGCTCTTTCTTATACACATATGAGTGTCTATGGATTTGTTTCTCTAGTCCACCCAGACTCACACGGTGGGGGACACATTTCAATCCACCACAAGTAATATCAACAGTCCTGGGAGGCAAAAGCGGATGATTGGATCTGCATCTTGAGGAAGAAATAGGTGGGAGATGGGGACCTCAGACAAATGATGGTCATGCCTCACTCCCTGTGCCCTACAGCAGAGCCCAAAGAAAAGAATATCAGATAAAGCTTCAGAAGAACTGGATTCTGATTCGGGCAAGTCTGTGCCACATTCCGAGCCCCTGATTCCTAGTCAGTACGCAGCCTTAATGCTATCATAAGAGACCACCAGAACATCAAGGTCAGGTTTTAAGCTTATGGGCTCTGAAGCTGAGCTGCCTGGGTTCAAATTTCTGTCACTTAGTTGTGTGTCTCTAGGTAAGTCACTTACTTAAATTTCTATGCTTTTGTTTTCTGCTCTGCCGAAAGGTGATGATAATATTGGTACTTACTGAACAGATTTATTGTTGTGGCTTAGATGAGTTAATACATATGAAAGGCTTATTTAGAATAATGCTCGACATTAGTAAATTGTACTCAATAAGTATTAATTTTAAGAAAGTGCTCCTCCCTGAATTTCCTTTAATTTAAAAAGATATAGAACATTACATTTAGAGGTGAAGCTCTGCCTGTGCCTTCCCGTGCCTATCTCTCTCTGTTGCCTCATGGTGATCACTCTCCTGAGGTTAGTGTGCACTGCTCCTATCTCTATTCCCCCCCAATTTCATTACATGTGCATATCCCTAACCAACATACAATAGGTGGTCTTAAAAAAAGGGGGCATCATCGTGAAGAGGTCACTGAAGATATGGATACTATAGCAAAGTGTGACAAAGAAACCAAATGGTGCCCAGGCATCAGAAAGAATAGCATCTGGGCTCTTAAAAGTTTGCTTTCAAGCAAACAGTCATCTCAGTGAAGCATCGACTAATAGAAGCACACCAGCCTTTGTTCCACTTATTATTATTATTATTAAATAATAAAATCCAAATCTAAAAGAGGGAATGGCATCAGAGCTTAAATTGTGAACACCTGGCTTCCAGAAGGCTATAGATGACAGTGGAAACCCAAAACCCATTTTCAGAGTCCACACATGGATTAAGCTTGTGGTGGATCCTCTCTGATCACAGTTGAGGGATGTGAAGAGCCCTGTTATCAGACAGAGAGCATTGTAAAGTGGATTATGGCAGACATAGTTCAAAATGTAATGTCATTTGCTCTCTTGTTAGACTCATTTAAGGCTTTTCAGTTAAAAAAAATGAAGGGGAAGTACACGTGGATATTAAGCCCCTGGTGAATTCCCTCTGACCATGGACGTGGTTGTGAAGAGCCTTGCTAACATGCTCAATGCATTGGAGATTGGATAGTTGTAGATGGAGTTAAATTAAAATTTAGCACACTACCACTTGATCTTCCTTATGATCCATTTAAATTTGTTCTAGTTTTTAATATATTCTTTTCTTTAAAAAAAAATCATTTTATTGGGGGCTCATCCTGCTTTATTTTCAATTGAGGTTTTATCTATATTACTTTGTTGTTCTCAGTAGCTTGTTTGTTTTATCATGTTTCTTTATATGAAATCCAGACAGATAAATCTTTATTTTCAATTAAAGTTTTATCTATTTTTCTTTGTTGTTCTCATTAGTTTTGTTTTTTGTTTTCATGTTTTCTTATATGAAATCCAGACAGATAAATCTTTATTTTCAATTGAGGTTTTATCCATTTTACTTTGTTGTTCTCATTAGTTTGTTTTTTCATGTTTTCTTTATATGAAATCCAGACAGACAAATCTATAGAGACAGTAACTGGATCAATGATTCCTTGGAGGTCTGGCAGGGGCTGCTGGGGGGAAATGGGAAGCTAATGGATTGTGATGATGATTGTACAATGCGTATTGATGTGATTCAACCGTTGAATTGTATGATGTGTGAATTATATTCCAATAAAACTGTTGGAAAGGGGGAAAAAAGCATTGCATTTCATTTTTTTCTCACTCAAAGTGATGCTTGAGCCTTATCCGCCTTGATGGATGATCGCACTACTAAGTTCAGTACAGATGACCATGTCTTGATTCCTTTCCCAGTTTATCGATTCTTAGATTTCTCTCAGCCTTGCACTGTTACAAACAAAGCTGCCCTGATCATCCTGGTGGCTTTTGCCTCAGGCCTAGTGTGAGCATTTCTTTAGTGCGTCTGTCAAGTGTCTACAACTCCTTGCCGGTGAAGCCTACTTTTCCGGTCGCCCACTGAGTTGATGCAGTGTCCCTGGGTTATGCAAATGGTTCATGTCTGCAGCTGCCAACGCAAAGGATGGAAGCACCTCCAAAGAAAGGCCTAGACATCTACGGAACTTCCAAATAAACAACCATTGACAACCCTACAGAACGTAATAACACAAAAACCAATAACCCCATCCTAAAATGGGCCAATAACTTGAATAAACATTTAACCAAAGAGTACATTCAAATGGCACCAATCAGGAAAAGATAGTCAGTGTC